AAAAAAGGGTTTTTTTTTTTTTTTTGGTTTTTAAAGACAGGGTTTCTCTGTAGCTTTGGAGACTGTCCTGGAACTTAGCTCTTGTAGACCAGGATGGTCTTGAACTCACAGAGATCTGCCTGCCTCTGCCTCCCAAGTGCTGGGACTAAAGGTGTGGGCCACCACTACGAGGAGTGTGGCTCATCTCTTGAGACGTCTTTAACAAAACTTCAAGAATTCAGCCACATAACAGAGATTCAATCTTTCCTGACAACTCTAAAGCATCATTGGCTTCCTTTTTAGCACAAGAGAAAAACAGGACCATTAACTAATTTGCTCATGGCTGGTGTGCATGCACCTCCCAACACTCACACTAGGGAGGCAGAGGCAGGTCAATCTGTCAGTTTCCTAGTATACAGAAGTGAATTCTAGGCCGCCCAGGGTTACATAGTGAAACCCACGCCTCAAAAACAAATAAATAAACAAATAAAATTTGTTGATGTTCAAACAGCTTAGTGATGATGCTGAAACTTCCACCAAGTTTACATAATCTTTTGTTTCTGGTAGCTGAATGTGTTAAGTGAGTAACAAGCAAAAGCAGAAAATCCCATCTGTTTCTTGGTAACAGGGTTTAATTTGTCATGGGGCCTTGCTGGCCTCAAAGAATATGGGAATAAGTACCAGTCCTATGAGACAGGGAGGGTTGTATCGCACCGAGTATTGCACACTAACTGCTCAGGCTAAAATGGCCAGCCTGTCAGCCCTGAGATTTTTGTGGCCTGTTTATTCTTTGCTTGCTGTGAGTTTCCTGTTTGAGATCATGGCTCCCAGCTAGCTGTTTCTCCTTTGCTACTTTCTGCCTTGTCAGGCCTGGCAACACAAAGGGAAGCTAATTTCAACAACCAACAGCCCTTCCAGGGAGTGTACAGCCCTGAAACGAAAATTTCAAACAACGGGCAAGTGAGATAGATGGCTCAGTGGACAATGGTTCTTTCTGCCAAGACTGACTTCCTTAGTTTGATACTAGGGACCCACAGGGAGAGAGTCCACCCCCACAAGTTGTCCTCTGATATACCACAAACACATATGCATACACACAAATAAATGTACATAATGGAAACAACAACAACAACAACAACAACAACAACAACAACAACAACAAAAACCAACCCAAACAAGAGGTGCAGCCCAGGACTTTCCCCAACTATTTTGAGCCACAAAGCTAAATTTTGCTTTCTATCAGCCAAACAAGATCAGCTATTAGCCCCAAACTTACAGGGATGCTTGACTGCTTGATCCCCCAATACTAGTAACCAGAAGATCAAAGACTAAGCTCACAATGGATGGCTAGGTGAAGCAGTCATTCTACTGGTGGCCAAGACCCAGATCTCTGAAAGGAGTAAAAAAGTGATTAAGGGAAACAGCTCACAAGCAGTTAGTCTTGAGGTAATTATTCTAACTAAAACAACTGAAGTCTGTTGCTTAAAATCTTTTTTACTTTAGAAAATTACCTTACAAAGTAATACATGTACCACCTTTTTATTTGTGCATGTGTGTGGGCACACATGCACATAAGAGGCCAGAGGTCAACTTCAGGTGCCATTCCTCAAGCATCATTCACCTTGCTTTTGTTGAGACAGGGTCTCTCATTGGCTAAGAAGGCTAGGTTGGGTGGCTAATAAGTGTCTTCACTTCTCTGGCCCTGGGATTACAGATATGGGCATATCACATCTGGCTTTAAAGAAGGAAGATAAGGGCTGGGATATTTCTAGGGAATCAAACTTAGGTCCTTATGCTTCTAAGCACTAAGTTCAGTTCACCAACTGAACCATCTCCAGCTCTGGGGTCTATTTTAATCTGCCCTATTCACCTTACAGAGCCAGGACAAAGAATATGGGATGAGTGACATGAAGAAAAGGTAAATGATAGAGCATAAAAAAGGGGACCCGCCCCTTCCAGGTCCAAATTAGGAAAGTTACCAACAGTCAAAACCTGACAGTTGGGTTGGGAAAGGAATGTAAAATGTTTCTAGAGTGGTCTGTGAAGCCTTGCTCTAATAAAAATGCAGGTCTAGACACCAGAGTCAAATGTCTGCCACTTATCAAAACACGTGTTGAACACCAATAAATGTAAAACAATTTTACCATGGTGCTTTTGCCAAATACAGATATACTGCCACTAACAAGTGAAGACAGCACCCACATTCATCCATCTAACTGTTTCCATCTAACTTGCATGCAGCTTTACCTCTGGAAAAATGAACCCACCAGGAAAAAAGGAAAAAGCAAACTTTTTACAGGCTTCCACACAGGATTTGATAAGGGGCATTACTAATAGGCAGGTGCTCATTTAACTTCATACCAGGCAAGCAAAGTACCGTTAACAGGTTCTTGAAGATTTAAATTAGCAGGTGTGTCTAGAACCCTAGGACAATAGTTCTCAACTGGGGATGAAGCTGCCCTGCAACCCTCACCTACTGGGGCACCTGTCAATGTCTGGAGCCCTAAAAAGTGTTTAGTGTCTAGCAGATAAAGGCCAGGGATGCTCCTATTTTTTTTTCCCACTGCATGGACAGCTCACCCAGAAAAAAATTTACAAGCTCCAAATATCAACAGTAGTTGAGAAACTACTGGTATCACTAGGATAACCCCCTATCAGAGTCTCTGATATGGAATGCCACCTGCCTCACAGCACCCATGTTTACCACTGACTACATTCTACTGCTGCATTTGAAGCTCTGCTACTTTGTGATTCCACCACTCTGGCTATTTTCTAGTCATTCCTTAGTTCATCTTCCTTCCAAGAACTTCCAATATCTCACAGTAAGATGCTCCCACAACATGCTTCTTTTATTATCTTTCTGGACTCTGATGATCCACCTAGTCTAAAGCCTCTACTGAGGATGAACTATGTGAAGACTGGAGTCATGTCTCAAGATCCACCAATTCAATTCCCTAGCACCCTTCCCACCTGGAGCAGGAGCTCACTAAGTAGTTGTATAGACATTTGAGTGCCTATCCTGTCATGCTCTGTTAGACACCAAATCACATTTAACTAAAAGGCCACAAAAGTTGGCAGTATTTGTTATAGAGCTAAGAAAGCCAACTCTGAAAAGATACCTATAAGATCCCAAAGAAAGCTAGCCATGTTGGCTCACTCCGGCAATCCTAGCACTCTGGAAGCAGAGGCAGTAATAGTCCTGAGGTGGAGGCCAGCCTAGGCTACAGGTTGAGACTCTGTCCCCCACCCCCTCCCCCCAATAAATATAATCCCAAAGTAAGCTGGATTCAAAGCCTGGGGCAGCACTTTTCAGGACTCGGCTGTGCCTCCCACACTAACTCTGGAGCCAAGCTTGAATCCAGGAGGGGCTGGAAGGACTGGGAAAGCTTTAGGACTTTACTACTGCAAAGAAAGACAATTTTCCTGATGATGCAATCTTGTTAATCACTAACAGACCTGCACATTAAGAGTTTGTAAATTCTGCTTTTAAATCTAGGAGTGTGCTGTAGGGGGAGTCTCTAAATGCCTGAGAATTCCCCACTAAGCAGCCAGTCACTGATAACCCTCTAGACAACCTTAGAAGTTTATGAAGAAAAAAAAATCCCACTAAATGACCAAATGGCCTTTGTGTGACATCCTTTCAGGACCAAGAAACTTCAACAAGGCAGACCCCCAAATCTCCCTTACATAGCAAGCTCCCTTGAAATGCCTTCTTTTGGAAAGTGAGTGGATGGATATTTTTGATCCACTTACAGCAGTCCTCTTGTCTCATCCTCATGAGTGCTGAGCCTACAGGCATGCACTACTAGACCCAGCTGAAAATCCCTTTTAAAAACATTTTGTCAAGACATCCACCTGGAAGCACCATACACATCTGGGACACTTGAAACAGTTGTAGTCTAGGCCTCATTTTGGGAATTAGCAAAGTATATTAACTAGGCTTACCTCTTTTTTTTTTTTTTTTAAGGGCTGGAAGAAGACAGCCCCCAAATAAAATTTCATTTCATATAAAGCCCAACAGTGTTCCAGCAGATGAATTACCCTGTTGGCCAGGGCACTGAGCTAATTCTTAGCAGTATCTGGGGCCCCAACTGGCCAAGAGCCTAAGATGTGGTCACCAAATCACAAGGCCAAACACCAGGTCAACGGACCAGCTGTATTTTGTTTTACTGGATCCCAGTAACAGCTATGGCATTTCTACACAGGCCCAAAACTAAGAGTGTTTCTGGCTAAACCACCAAAACGTTCAGCCTTAAGAAAGTCATTCTTCCCAAGAATAGAGAAATCTGTACCAAAAACAAAACAAAAACCCCAAACCAAAAAACTCAAGGGCTCTGCCTGCATTTTCAGTTAAGGAATCCACTATACTTTGTTAAACCACAAACATCTGTACAGAGGAAACTTTTAGAGAGACCAGGGAAAACTTTTAGATAGTTAAGCACAGGTTTTTTTTTTTTTTTTTTTTAAGATATGGAAATGAAGTCCAAACCCTAAAGTGATTTGCTTAAAACCACATGGAAAACACTTAGCCTTGAGTTCTATCTCTAGGCCCCACAAAAACCCGGCCTGTTTACAACTGTAATCCCAGAACTTGGGAGGTGGAGGCAGGAGGATTACATTCAAGATCATCTTTCTTTGTGTAAAAAGATGAAGGCTATCCTGAACTACCTGAAACACCCCCCACCCCCACCTTCAAAAACAAAATGCAAAACAAGCTCCGAATATTTGGAAAACGGGAGTCCTATGCTCAGAAAATGCTTAGCCTCTCAGAATAAGGCTTTTATAGATGAATTCTCAGATAAACTACTATGACCACTTTAAATCTGCCTGCAGGTACAGAATTCTATATCGGCCTCATCCCTCTAAGAGTTTTAGACACAAGATTCCTATGGTCTGCACGAAAAAGGATGAGTCAGAACCATAAAAAGAACAGGCTCCCATCAGCTGTGGCTTTCCAGAACCCACT